GGGAGTGGAGAAGACAATCAAAATTAGTGTGTGGAGAAGGGATCATAGCTGATATGACTCATTGGGTTTGGTCTCACCTGCCTGGGGCCAGCGGGTTTTGTAGCACAGGCCTGCCTATTGGGTTAGGGAGTAGGAATCCTCTTCATCCACCACTCCTAACCACAATCATCAATTTTACTTCAGACTTTAAAATACCTAAACCCACGCCCTTCAGGGGTGGGCAAACTTTTTGACTCGAGGGCCACAATGGGTTCTTAAACTGGACCGGAGGGCTGGAACAAAAGCATGGATGGAGTGTTTGTGTGAACTGATATAAATTCAAAGTAAACATCATTACATAAAAGGGTATGGTCTTTTTTTTTTTTTTTTAGTTTTATTCATTTCAAACGGGCCGGATCCGTAGTTTGCCCACGGCTGCCCTAGCTGGTTTGTCTCAGTGGTTAGAGCGTCCACCTGTGGACTGAAAGGTCCCGGGTTCGATTCCAGTCAAAGGCATGTGCCCTGGTTATGGGCTTGATCCCCAGTAAGAGCCATGCAGGGGGCAGCCCATCAATGATTCTCTTTCATCATTTATGTTTCTATCTCTCTCTCTCTCTCCCTTCCTCTCTGAAACCAATATAAATCTATTTAAAAAAATATCTAAACCCATACCTCATCTCCTGTCCCACCCTCCCCTTGGTTCAGGCCCTGATCCTCTCCCACGGCTTCGGCTGCTTTCTGCCTCTGTCTGGTCTTTGACGCTCCACGCTCTGTCCCCCTCTCCCCCATCCACATGGAGGCAGTTACTGCTCTGAAAAAGCAAAGCTGATCACTTCACTCCTCTAAGCTCTGTTGCATATCTAGATCTATATATCCATAGTGTTTCTATATCTAAAGGGGGAAGCCCAGTTATGAGGCTCTCGTAATCAAGTGAGAGATGTTGGATGTGTGAACTAGGGCAGACAAAGAGGTGGGAAAAGATTTGAGGAATAACATGTAAAACTATAAACTCTCTCTCTCTGTATATGTGAAACATATTAAGATTTCTTCTATTAATTTATCCAACAAATATTTATTGCAAACCTACCATGTGACAAGCACCATTCTAGGCACTGCAGATATGAGGGGACAACATAACGGATCCTGTCCTCTTGTAGCTCACAGTCCAGTGAGAAGAAAAGCAATATACAGAAAATCAATAGGAAATCAATCAGGGCCATGTGATAGTGCCTTGGGGGAACTACTTGAGATAAACTGGTCATGGGAAAGTCCACTGAGGAGGTGACACTTAAGCTGAACCTCAGTGAGGAGGGAGAGTTGGCTGCACAAGGAGTTGGAGAATAATATTCCAGACAGAAGAAAAAGGAAGAGTAAAGGTCCTTGGGTTAGAAAGAGTTTGGTATTTCTGAGGAACGCATGCCAATATGAGCCAAGCAGAGTCCTGGGAAAGATGCAATACGAGATAGAGTGGAGAGGGAGGCAGGAGCAATGTCTACATAGACTTAGTGGTCCTTGTCAGAGATTTGAATTTTCTTCTAAGATTGGAAGCCGTTAAAAGTGGCTTTGAGCCAGAGAGAGACGTAGAATTGTATATATATAGTAAACAGGTCATTTTGGCTTCTCAGTGAAGGAGAGCAGATAGGGGTCAGAGTAGAGATAGACATGAATAGATGTAAGGGGCAAGGTAGGATGGTGTGGTATTGGCTCTGGCTGAGTTGTTGGTGGCTCGACTAGGACGTGTCCAAGGACATTGAGAAAAGTGGTCAATTACAGGCTCTATTTTATGGGTCAAAATGACTGCTTGCTGATGGAATGACTAGATATGAGGGTGAATACCAGGAAGGAGCAAGGATGGCTTAGGGTGGATGGTGATGCTATTTGCTGAGAAACTGGGGAAATAGTTTCGGGAAGAAAGGTTGAGTTCATCTTTGGACCTGCTAAGTGTGAGATATGCCAGTCACTTCAGTGGACATGACACATGGTAGCTGGAGAAATGTCTGGAGCTCTGGGAGAGGTCTTCGCGGTGGAATTACAGGTGTGAGTCATCAGCGTGTAGATGATATAACAGTCATGGGGCTGGGCGGGAATACCAGGGGAGAATGTAACTAGATCAGAGAAGAGGGAGGAGGACAGCCCTCCTCACTAGTAGAAAAAACGAGGGCTGAGTTGCCAGGAGACTGAGGTTAGAGGGACAGCGGGAGGGCGGGGCTTCCCAGGCTCCAACAGAGGAAGGTGTGTCCAGATGGAGTTTGCAGTCAGCTGTGCCTGACATCCCCAGAGGTGCAGTAAGACAAAGGCAGGAAGGTAATGAGAACCCACGACCTGGTAACTTATAGGTCACTGTGGTGACTGTGACCAAAGTGGTTTGGGACCCCAGCCTGACTGGAGTGCAGAGAAGGAGGGGTGAGCATGTGTAGCTTTCAGGACATTTTGCCAAGAGGCTGGACCATGGCTGCTTTTGCTTTTCCTGTTGGTATATTCTTATTTCCCAACAGTGACCATTTATTACTTGTTTAATAGGTACTCTGCAGATGGCACTTCACTGTTTATGAGAAAAGGATGAATTTCTAGTAGAATATGGCAGACCCTCATCTTCCTCCCTTCACTGTGACCTCTCCAACCACAGGCTTGCTATTCTCCACAAGCACCAATCTCTTGTCTGCTGCAGTCACTATTTCACACCAGCTTCCACAGTGAATATAAATTTGGAGTCTGGTGCTAGGCATCCGTGGTGGCTGTGGTTCCCATTCCTCTTAGCACCCATAAGCCACCCCGCCCCCCACCCACCCACCCC